AAATAACTGAGCTTTTTTTTTTTTTTTTTAAGTTTTGTTTTTGTTTTTGCTATAGGGAGCATGCACTCGCCAGAGAGGGGTAAAGTAAGAAATCACTCTCCAGGAGGGATGGCCACTCTTCAATCCCTTCTCTTCCATTCTCCTCTCAGTATTTTGGGCTCGTTGTATACACGCCCAGTATGATTTTCAAGCTACCAGTCTGGGTCCAAGACCCAGTGGGCCATGTGGGAATCCAGTAACTTAACCTCCATAAGATCTGCTGGGCTTCCGAGTATTAATCTTTTTTTTTTTAGAGGTTTTTGCTATAGGGCACGTGTGCTCACCAGACAGAGAGAGACATAGAGACAGAAAGCGAGAAATCACCCCCAGGGGGGATGGTCATGCTGCAATCCCTTCTCCTCCATTCTCCTCTTGGGATCTTGGGCACACACGCACACGCGCCCGGCATGAGTTTTAAGCCACCGGGTCCAGGACGCGAACCACGGTCGACTACGTGGGAGTCCAGTGACATAGCCATTACGCTAACCGCTGGTTCCCACCAAGTATTAATTTTTGAACCTGTCTGCATTCTTTTTTAGAAGATTTTTATCTATCCCTCCTATCCTTCCCTGCCCAAAGTAAGCTTCCTTCCCTCTACTCCTCACCCCCCACATACACACACAGGCAAATAGATACCTAGGGCAGTCTAGCACAAGGTTATATGAATTTTTAAAATCATAAATACAGTTTTATGATAAATCATTAAGACAGTTAAAAATTTCTGCTGAGTCATGAAGAGTAGAGAGTGACTCTTTGATCCATCAACGCTCTAAAAACATGCTCTTAAAATTCCCCTTATCCCTCACCCAGTGTTCCCTCACCAGGGACTGGAGGAGCACAGAGTCCCAAGTGATAGGAAGCTCAGATATAAACAGTCACATTTTATCTGATATTCTTTTATACAGAATTAACTGCCTACAATGCACTAAAATGCTCCTAGAGTAAGAGACATTGCTGATCTGTGCTTATTTTACACATTTCACCAGTTTCTGACAGTCATACTCCCAGTTCTCCACTGACGTGTAATTTTCAGCCAACTCAGGCATATGTTAATAATCAACTCTTTTTTTTTATCTTTCTGATAAGGACGGTACAACTGCATTATTGAAAGCAGCCAACAAAGGGTATAATGACGTTATTGAGGAGTTGCTTAAATTCTCACCCACTCTCGGTATTTTGAAGGTAAGACCTAAACAGAAATTGTACCAATCTGTAAAAGAGAAATTAGAAAATCCAAAGCCCATTCTTGGGGACAGCAGTGGAACTGGGGTACAATTAACCTGATAGGTTGTCCATCTAGTTGTATTGGTTGTACTGTATACCAGGTCATAGCCTTGCCTTGAAAGAACACACCGATGCTGAAGCTTCTTGATGCTGAAGATCTATTGGCATTGGTAGAAATAAGAAAGTGAGCCAGATTCCATCACCACTTAGTTTTACACACACACATACACACACAAATGTGGTCATAACTTTACTAAATTGGAAAGTAAAACAAATTGCTCTTATTTGGAGTATTTGTGAAGTCATGGAAGAACAGACACTAGGTTGCTTTTTTTTTAGGTTTTTGCTATAGGGTGCATGTGCTCACCAGAAAGACAGAGAGAGACAGAGAGACAAAAAGCAAGAAATCATCCCCCAGGGAGGATGGCCATGCCACAATCCCTTCTCCTCCATTCTCCTCTTGGGATCTTGGGCACGCACACACACGCACCTGGCGTGAGTTTAAGCCACCCAGTCCAGGACTCGAACCACGGTCAACTACATGGGAGTCCAGTGACATAGCCATTACACCAACTGCTGGTCCCAGGTTGCTTCTTTTCATTACATTGAGCAAAGTAACACTTTGCCTTATTACTTTAAATGAAATAAAATAAGCTTTAATCACCTGTGAATCTTTAGAAAATGTCATTGTGGCAACATGGGTCTTTCAGAAAACAGCCCCAAAACTCTTTAAAAAAAAAAAAGTTTTAATCATTTTTGGATTAAACTATTGGTATTTCTAAACTATAGTGTATTTCAGAGGTCAACAATTTTTTTCTCTGTGAAGCCAGATAGTAACTATTTTAGGCTTTGCGGGCCATGCAATCTCCATCACACCTGCTCAGTTCTTCCATGGCACACTCCAAAAGCAGCCCCAGAGATTTTTAAATTATTGGGGCCAACAGATGATGAAACGATTACATCCCATGTAATTGACCACAGTTTGAGTTCTGGACCCAGCAGCTTAAAACTCACACCGAGAGTGTGTGTATGCATGCCCAGAATCCTGAGAGGAGAACGGAAGAGAAAGGATTGTGGCATGGCCATCCCCCTGAGGAATGATTTCTCATTTTCTGTCTCTCTTCTCTGTCTCTGCAGTGAGCACACGTACCTTATAGTAAATATCTCTCAAAAAGGAAAATTTTAAATTATAATAATATATTATGTGGCTGCATTTCTATAAAATTTTATTAACATTTGTGGAGTTTCATATTTCCATGGTACAAAATGGTCTTTCTTTTACCTTTTTTTTAAATTCCATGAGTCAGACACAGAGAGATGGCACCCTCAATGAGGCCAGTGCTGTGATCCACTCCAAGCCTCGGCAGCCCTGAATCATGGAGGTTTCCTGATACAAACCTGTGACCTTCCTATATGTGGGTCAGCCTTGCAGAGTTTCATGTTTTACCGCTGTGCCACCATTCAGCTCCCTTAATCCTTTTTAATCTTTTAAAATGTAAAAACAATTCTCCACTTGCAATATATACAAAAACAGGTGTTGGGTTGGATTTGACCTTCAGGCCATAGTTTGCTGACCCCTAATATAGACTCTTCTGGTTTCTTAAACAGAGGACACCAAATCTGTTCTAACTTGGCACTGTGGGTTAGCAGTTTCGAAGCTGTGCCCTCAGGATTTATCGATATATATAAAATCTGTTTGCCCTTAAATGACCCTAGAAGCTTCTTGGACACTGTGTCTGCTCTTTATATTCACTATCTTCAGACTTCATTCTTGTGGTCAGCTAGTACAGAACTGCTATTGTCAGTGTGTTGGCCTCTCTCCCCTGTACTAATGAGCTACTTCTAATCTTCCTTGAGCTTGGAAGCCAGAAAGCTGCACTTGTTAAAATTGTTTACAGAGTACAAATAAATGGTCTATGAAAATGAACTCTATGAACAAAAAGGAACGAATTTTAGACGTGGACTTTGCAATATCTAATTTCATTTCAAATGGATCTTTTTTGCTTTAGTGTTTACTCTTAACTATGTTGCAAAGAGTTGAAGTTGATAGGGTGGCCAAGATTTTGACAACTGAGGTATTACCAGATTGGTGAATTATCATGTATATAATAAAAGCAACCAAAGAAAAAATGCTGTTTTGCTGGAATATTTATCTGGATATGATCTTTTACTTTTTTTCAAAATCAGAGTAATTTTTTTTAGAGATTTTTTTCTATAGGATGTGTGGACACACCAGAGAGAGAGACAGAGACAGAAAGTGAGAAATCACCCCCCAGAGGGATGGCCACGCTGCAATCCTTTCTCCATTTTCCTTTCAGGATTTTGAGCATGCACACACACATGCCCTGTGTGAATTTCAAGCTGCTGGGTCCAGGACTTGAACTGTGATTGGCCATGTGAGAATTCAGCCCCTTAACCACTATGCCACCTGCTGGTCTCAGAGTGATTTTTATTTTGAGTAATTAATTAGGAAACTAAGCTTGCATTAGGTACTAGTTACAAACCTATGTACCCTCTGAAAACAATGTCACATGACTACCCATTGTTCTTTTATTCATTTTGTTATATTCTCTTCCTCTCCCCTCCCAGATCCAGCTAGATGCTGCATGGAGCTGCTTCTTTATTTTGATATTTGCAGTAAATTTCATAAAATGTCAGCAACCCATCTACAAGTCTCCTGTGCTCAGAAACTCCAACTCAGGGCTTAGGAGTTGCCTCATCCCACATATTCTTCTTAATCCCTGTGACCCCACAGTTGCTCCCCTGCCTGCCTGAGTGAACACTGTCTGGAGACCAGCTAATGGGTCAGCACATTGGCTAGGCAGCCTTCCTCCAGCCTTACTAGAAGTGGCTCACTGAAAGTATGAATACTATATATATTGTCTGTGAAGAAAAAAATGTCAAAGCGTTATGGTTTTGTTTCTGCAGCAAATCCTAAAGTATATATAAAGCTGAGTGACTATAAAGTCATGCGTGCCCTGGCCAGATTTCATGTTTTGCTTGCAAAAGAACATTGAAATATTATTAGTGGCCATCAGTTGTGTATCTAAGGACACTACTGCAGGTGCTGATATGACTTTGAGAAGTATGAGGGAAGATGAGGAAGAGTGGCTCTGATGTTGCAGTCTCAACATTGAGATGGTTTACGGTGAAAGCCAAGTTAAGTGCTGATGGCTACAAGCTCACTCCTGACCCACACTCTCATTTTTCTCTTAGAATGGGACATCAGCGCTCCATGCTGCAGTGCTCAGCGGGAATATTAAAACAGTTGCATTGCTCCTGGAAGCGGGGGCAGACCCAGGCCTGAGAAACAAGGTACCCACTAAACACATCCTTTACTCTATCAGGTTCCCATGCAGAGAAATAAGACAGCATCCTTCTAAACCAGGAAGAACTGATTTATCTCTGTGGCTCCAGTCACTATCTTCATACTTATGCATGCTAAGGGCATATAAGGTTGATATTACTAGCTTACTAATGAGCAGTACCTATGGACCTAGGGAATTGTACCCAAAACTCTATATTATCAATGGTTTCCAGCTAACAAGCACACCCTCCTGATGGGAGTGGAGGTGGAGTAGACAGGGGAGGACAGTCCTTACATGAAGTATTGTTGTTCTACATCAAAGACATTGTCTAGGCCCACAGATGTAGCATAGGAAGTAAGGCTCTACTTCACAATGTATACTAAAAATGCCAACATTTTGGTAGTTTATCACCATCACCATAAGTTGGATATCCTTATCATTTTTTTTTTTTGAGAGGTTTTTGCTATAGGGCACGTGCGCTCGCCAGACAGACAGAGAGAGACAGAGAGATAGAAAGTGAAAAATCACCCCCCAGGGGGGATGGTCACACTGTAATCCCTTCTCCTCCATTCTCCTCTCGGGATTTTGGGCGCGCACACACACACGCCTGGCGTGAGTTTAAGCCACCAGGTCTGGGACGCAAACCACGGTCGGCTACATGGGAGTCCAGCGACATAGCCATTACACTAACTGCTGGTCCCGATATCCTTATCTTGAGAATTGCTTTTGCTAAATTTGGTGACTTCATGGGGACAATGTTGATTTTATACTGTTAACAGGAGTACTTGCCACTGTTACAAGACCAATCCATTTTTTTTAATAGTTCTATCCTTTGTATATAAGTAGGCCAAACCTGAAGGTGGAAGGGCACACAATAGCAACCAAAAACATGATTCACCAAACTTCCTCCTATTCAACGTCTGCTTAAAGCTGTCACATGTAGAGTGTGGGGGAGGAAAGGAGCCTAGAAAGGTCTTAAGAAAGCACAAGGAACTACCAACTTTTTTTTTTTCCTTTTTATTTTTTTTAATGCTAGAGGGCACGTATGTGTTTCCATGAAAGAAACAGAGAGACAGAGATAGAGAAAGCACCTCTCAATGGAGCCTGGTCATGCCACAATTCTTTTTTCCTCCAATTCTACATCCTGTCAGGATCCTGGGCATGCACACACATGGGCCTTGCAGGTTTTTCAAGTCATTAGGGCTAAGACTTGAACCCTGGTCAGCCATGTGAGATCCAGCTTCCTCTATGCACTGCTTTCACCACTGCTCTGTTGGCAGACCCCAAACTACCGACTTTTGAAAGAGAAAGTGAGATTGGTGCTTACGAATAGGGGAAAGTATGAAAAACAACTTTCACTTTATACTTATGTTCTCTTTGGATTTTTATAAGCATCTATTACTGTGTTACATTTTAATAATAAAAACAAAAAATATAGTGTTTCCTGATATTTTTAAAAGAAACCACTAAGTGCCAATTAAGCAACATGCCAAGGGTCACTTTTCTATTTTACTTAGCATAAAGAAGTATTATTTCCCCACTCCTACCAATGAATCACTTGAAGATAAAACTCGTTTATCTCTTCCTGAGACACTTGGATTTGTTTCCCATTAGCTGGCATGGCTGTGTGATAAGCCAATTAAAATCACAATTGCCTTTCTTTTAGATCATATCTAGAGACCTGTACACAGGCTTCCGAAAGAGATCCATCTTTGTGGATGACCTATCTAGAACTGAATTAAGACAAGAGGAAGGCAGTAATACCCTTACACAGAAACCGAAAGTGCGGTTCCTTGTGTGTCCTCTAGACTAATGGATAACCATCAGCAGTAATGGTTACAGTTAATTTCCAGTGGTCAAAATGCTGAACTTTAGACTCAAACTAAAATTACATGACTATATCCGGGAGAGCCTTCAAAAAGTTCTTGGAGGGACCAGCAGTTGGTGTAATGGCTATGTTGCTGGACTCCCACACAGTCGACTACGGTTTGAGTACCAGACCCGGTGGCTTAAACTCATGTCAGGCGCATGTGCATGTGTGCCTAAGATTCCGAGAGGAGAATGGAGGAGAAGGGATTGTGGCGTGGCCATCCCCCCCACCCCTCCCCCGGGGGATGATTTCTCACTTTGTCTTTCTGTCTCTGTCTGTCTTTCTGGTGAGCATCTGCGCCCTATAGCAAAAACCTCTCCAAAAAAAAAAAAAAAAGAAAGAAAGTTCTTGGAAAATGTGTATTATGAAAACTATACATGAATTTCACATTTTTTTCAACTCATACCTTAATTCTGTTTTCCCATGAGTGTGTTGAAGCCCTCCCTCCTATATGTGAGGGTGCTCAGCTGAAGCTTCATACCACAGAAGTCCTTAGGGAACTGGGAGTAGCTATGAAGGAAGCCCCCACTCACCGCCAACCACTCGCTAGAAGCCAGTTTTTTAAATGAGAACTCCAGAAGCAAGGGTGTTGGAATTCTAGCAACTATCCAGGACTCTTACAGGAATATCCTTGGCCTTCATACACTCACTTAACAAACATTTATTGAGCACCTAGCAAATACTATGTAGTGTGCTGTGTGCCAGAAGTACAATGCTGAAAGACACTCACATGATCGCTCTACTTTCATGGAACTCAGGGTTTAGTGGGGAATAAAAACAATAAATAAGGAACCAGCAGATGGCATGGTGGCTAAGGCGCTGGACACTCCCATATGTTTGACCACAATTCGAGTCCTGGACCTGGTGGTTTGCTTTCCCACTTTCTCTCTCTCTCTCTCTCCCTCCCTCTATCTCTGTCTGTCTCTTTCTGGTCAAATTAAAATAAAAATGAAAGAATAAATAAAATTAAATAAATAATTCTTTATTTAAAAAAAAAAGACAACTAAATAAGCAATTGCACAAAGTGACAAGCATTATAAGTAAAAAAGGAAAGAATGCTATCGAAGGGGCTTAGAGACTTCTAAGCTAGTACAAAGGCATCTTTCTGCACCAGGAATTCCAGAACTTCTGCTTTGGACTTCAAGGCAGTTGCCTGGGGACAGGTCTAACCAATGACCCCAAAAGCCACTTCTCACACTCTAGCCATCCCAACACCCCTAACTGAACATTGAGAATACATCTTCTAGGGACGGTGGGGAAATACAGTGGTTTGATGTTGTAATATGAATATAGACCTGTGGTCCTGGTCTGTAATGAATAAGATGACCTATAGGAAATTTTTAAAAATAGTAATAAATAAAATTAAATAAATAATGAAATAATATTTTTTAAAAAAAGATGGGCATTAGTGGCTAACCTGGAATACTGGCTATCATACAATCCACGCAGCCTCAGCAACCTGAGAAGTCAGTGGGAGCAGAGGAACGACATCGGCCTACATGGATGTTGGCTGGCCTCATAGCTCCACGGTTAAGTGCTGTGCATTGGGAACTGGATTTCACATGGCCAGCCACAGTCTGAATCCTGGTGGATGAGGTCCTAGCCAGCAGGTCAGGTAGCAGGGTCCCACCCACAATGCAAGGACTGTAGGGGCTTCACCTAGGGTTAAGTTCCCACATGAAGAAGCGGGATTTCCAGGCTTGGTTGTGAGAGAGGTAACACCCATATTGAGACCCCTCCCCATTCTATGTGCCGATCTACCCTTTCATGGCTTCCTCTGAGATCCCTCAAAGCATCTTTTTGATTGCTCTATAACAGCACTTCTCAGAGTGTGATCCATAGAGCCCTGGATATCTTCAAGACCCATTCAGGGGCTTTAAGAGGTCAAAACAAATTTTTTTTTTTGAGAGGATTTTGCCATAGGGCATGTGCGCTCGCCAGAAAGACAGAGAGAGACAGAGAGACAGAAAGCAAGAAATCACCCCCCAGGGGGGATGGCCACGCTGCAATCCCTTCTCCATTCTCCTCTCAGGATCTTGGGCACGCACGCACACGCGCCTGGCGTGAGTTTTAAGCCACCGGGTCCAGGACGCAAACGGTAGTCAACTACATGGGAGTCCAGTGACATAGCCATTATGCTAACTGCTGGTCCCCCTACAATGTATTTTTTTTAAATGATAGAATGTGTGCATACATGTGTGTCCACATGCATGAGAAAAAGAATATACTCTCGACTGGGTCTTATCATGCCATGATCGTCTTTCCTCAGCTCTCTAGCTCCTCTGGATCCTGGGTACTGCGCATGCCTGCCTGACATGTTTACAGGGTCACCTAGGAATCCAAACCTGCAGTTGACACTACTTCCAGCACTGTAGTTCATTCAGCACACTATAGACTGTGCTGCCTGGCTGGGCTGAAAGCAGTATTCTCAGTGATACAAAATGTTATCTGCCTTTTCCACTCTGCTAACATTTGCTCTAAAGGTATAAAAGTAAAGGTGGGGAACCAGCAGTTAGCGTAATGGCTATGTCGCTGGACTCCCACGTAGTCGACCGCGGTTCGTGTCCCGGACCCAGTGGCTTAAAACTCACGCCGGGCGCGTGTGCATGCGTGCCCAAGATCCCAAGAGGAGAATGGAGGAGAAGGGATTGCGGCGTGACCATCCCCCCTGGGGGGTGATTTCTCGCTTTCTGTCTCTATGTCTCTCTCTTGTCTGTCTGGCGAACGCACGCGCCCTACAGTGAAAATCTCTCCAAAAAAAAAAAAAATTAAGGGGGAACCCTTGGGGCCTTACTGTTTATCAAAGCAGGGACACCAAACTGTACTAGCAAATTACTTTACAAAACTGAATTATGCTATACATTTTGTAAATTATTTTGCAAAAGAACCAGTTTTACCTAAGAGTGTTTCTAAGAAAACATGGAAAAATGTTCATTTTTATTTCATCTTGACCCTTGCTATACATCTTTTTAATATTATGTCACAAAAATTAGAAGTATTCATGAAGCTCTTCTGCTGTATACTGAAGAACATTGATTATCTCAAGAAAAAGCACCAGTGTAATTGTTTAAATTGCAAAGTGAACCCACCACTTTTTTCATAAAACACCATGTTTACTTGAGAGAAAAACTTATATTTTTTATCTACAACTATGAACTTAAGAGCTTCCCGATAAGCCAAGGCTTTTCTGATGAGTCAGCAGTAATACCAATGAATACGTTTTTGTAGGCTTTTTTTTAAATAGGGATTTTTTTGCTATAGGATGCATGCACTCACCAAATAGACAGAGAGAGATGGAGAGACAGAAAGCAAGAAATCACCCCTTCAGTGGAGATGGTCATGCTGCAATCCCTTCTCCTCCATTCTCATCTCAGGATTTCGGGCACACATGCACACGAGTCTGGCATGAGTTTTAAGTCTCCAGTTTTGGGACTTGAACTACTCTTGGTCATGTGGGAGTCCAGTGACATAACCATTACACAATCTACTGGCCCTGAATGTTTTGATATTGCTCGATGAAATGTGTCAACATTTGAAGGCTCTACATAACTCAGTAAACTAGTATTTTCCAAATGAGCAGTATATGATGTTACAAATCACGTGTGGGTAAAGATCAACCCACAGACAGACTTACAGATTTTAATGAACAGAGAACAAAAAGTTCATTGATGTGGTTTCAGATCCCATATTCCAATTTACCTTTAAGAAACTACCACTTTCAGTACCAGCAGATGGTGTAATGTTTACATCACTGGACTCCTATGAAGTTGACTGTGGTTCAAGTCCTGGACCCAGCGACTTAAAACTCATGCCAGGCATGTGTGTGTGTGTGTGCATACCCAAAATCCCGAGAAGAGAGTGGAGGAGAAGGGATCACGGCATGGCCATCCCTCCTGAGGAATGATTTCTCACTTTCTGTCTCTCTGTCTCTCTCTACCTCTCTGGTGAGCATATGCTCCCTATAGCATCTCTCAAAAAAAAAAAAAAAAAAGAAAGAAAGAAAGAAAGAAATTACCACTTTCAAGTATTGATGTAGCATCAAAGAATACCTACAATGATTGAGAAGACTGCTAAAATGCTTACCCCCTTTCCAACTGCTTTATATGTTTCAATCAAAACAACATATCACAATAGACTGGATGCAGAAAGCAGATGTGAGAATATAGTTGTCTTCTATTAAGCTACACATTAAAGAAAAATGTAAAACTGTTAATCAATGCTACTCTTCTCACTAGGATTTTTTTGAGAGAGAGATTTTTTGCTACAGGGTGCCTGTACTCATCAGAGAGACACAGAGACAGAGAGACTGAAAGTGAGAAATCACCCCCCAGGGGGTCTGGCCACTGTGCAATCCCTTCTCCTCCATTCTCCTCTCGGGATTTTGGGCATGCATACACATGTGCCTAGCGGTGAGCTTTAAAGCCACCAGGTCCAGGACTCGAACTGCAGTCAACTCTGTGGGAGTCCAGCAGTGTAACCATTATGCCATCTGCTGGTCCCAGGATTTTTTTTTAATTTAATTGTTTTTCATAAATATGTTGCTTATGTGAACCAGCAGTTAGCGTAATGGCTATGTCGCCGGACTCCCACGTAGTCGACCGCGGTTCATGTCCCGGATCCGTGGCTTAGAACTCACACCGGACGCGTGTGCATGCGTGCCCAAGATCCCGAGAGGAGAATGGGGGAAAAGGGATTGCAGCGTGACCATCCCCCCTACGTGACCACCCCCCCTGGGGGGTGTTTCCTCGCTTTCTGTCTCTATGTCTCTCTCTGTCTATCTGGCAAGCGCACGCGCCCTATAGCAAAAAAAACTCTCAAAAAAAAAAATAAAATAAATAAATATGTTGCTTACATTAACCTGTAATGTGTGTGTGTGTGTGTGTGTGTGTGTGTGTGTGTTGTTTTGTTTTTACTTTGCCAGACATTAACCTGTAATGAGTGTGTTTTGTTTTGTTTTTGAATTTGCCAGAGGGCACATGCACTTGCTAGAGAGAGAAAGTGAGAAAGCACCGCCCATGGGGCATCGTCATGATACAATCCCTTCTCCTCCATCTTTCTCTCCTCTCAGGATTTTAAGCACACACGAACACACCTCCTGTGAGTTTCTCAAGCCACTGGGTCTGCGACTTGAACAATGCAGTTGGCCATGTAGGATCCAGCCTTCTTAACCTCTAAGCCATAGAGTTTATTATTTTTAATGAATTAGTAAATATAAGGGGTCCTCAAAAAGTTCATGGAAAATTATTTTTATGACAAAATTATGCAGTGGATTTTAAAATCTTTTCGCACTGAAAAAACTTGTATATTATTCCATTTTTCCACAAACTTTTTGAAGTTCTCTCATTATTTTTATACTTTTCTCAGTTTAAATTTCTAATATGTTAAAAACAAAAATCTTAAGTCTCTCAATACTTTTTAAGACTGTAAAGGACTTCTAAGACCAAAAAGGTTGAGAACCACTGCCCCTTAACACTAATTGGTTGTGGTGAGGACTGGCCCACTAAATGCTTAAAGAATGCATCTCAGCGGCAATATGAAAGGAAGATCTTTCTGTGATATGGGTTAGGTGGAAAGTTGCTGTCAAGTAAGCTGTTCTTTCCCCAGTATCTCTTTTGCTGTGGATGCTTCTAACTCAAACTTCTCATCAAAAGAGACCTGTCCTAAGTTGTGAGTCCCCCGTGGACAGACCACTTCATATAATAAACTAATTAAATATAAGGTATCAAATTTAACTTGCTCAGTATTTATTGAGCACGTATTAGATGTGGTAAGCATTGTGCTAGAAATGAGGACATAATAATTAATAAGATATGGACCTGCTCTCTGGGAGATTATAGTCTAGTAAGGGATCTAGCTGGATGCAAGAGCTACTCTAGCAATGAAATAAGAAAATAACAAGTAATATTTATATATTTAAAGGAAGGACACCTTTAATATCAAAGAGTGAGTCCAGTAGATTTTCATTCATGGAGAAAATGTGGGTCAGGAGCCCCCCCACCCTTGGTGTCCCTAAAACCACACCAACTGGAGGAATTCACTAATGCCTGTTTTATCTTCTTTCAGGCCAACGAACTTCCAGCAGAATTAACCAAAAATGAACGTATATTGCGTCTCCTACAAAGTAAAGAAGGACACAGGAAGAGCTAACTTAGTTCCACTTTTTGACAGAAAGATAGAAACCTTAATCACATAGTCCGAAAAGAAATTGCTTTTCCGCGTTGGAAATTTTTTCAAGAAAAAAAAAATGCCTAGAATGCCACCCTGTGGGTCCCTGACAAAGATGAGCTGGGCTTGGTGCACTAAGTCAAAAATAGAACCGCTCAGGGACTCTTTCTCTCACTTATTGTGGGCTTCTCACACTCTGCCCTGTAACTCAGCTCCAGGGCAGCCTGGCATAGTTACGGATTCCACAGAAACTCGTTTAACTTGGGATTCTCAAGACCCAAGACCAAGATGGAGAGGTTTGACTATTAAGCTAAGAAAGAGATGGCTTTGGTTTTTTAAAGATTGAAAGGCTGACCAATGAATTGATGTACTTTATTTTCGTGTTAAATGTAGGTGTGCTAAAGTATATACGTTCATGATAGTTTACGTTTATACATGTATGTCGTTCCAGTGTAAAACGTTTTCTTCTACCCAACGATCATAGTCATGACTACTACAAATGAGTGCTGTGTAAACATACATTAAAAAGCCACTTCTGACATTCCACTATGTATTACTCAAAGTTAAACTGCTGCACTAGAGAAAATACAGACTGTGTATTTGTTCATTTACCCCTATCCTACTCATGCCATGTAAAAATTATTTTTACTTAGAGTCAACATTGTAGGTATGATAGGATACCAAAGTCAAACTTGGAATTCAGATCGTTACATACTACAAGACATTTAGGCTTGTCTGTTTGAGATTTTATTCTGTCCTACGGACTCTACTTCCCACATCATAAGAAAGTAGATTTAATATGCTGTGGAATCTTGAGCGTTTCCAACACCACATCGATTGATACGATAACTTTGAAGCCCTTGGATAAAGTGTGATATATGCCAGTATAGTGTGTTGCTATTACTACTACAGGAATAGAGGTAATAAAAGACTGTTAGAACAATTAATAAGTGTTCATCTATGCATGTTCTTGGGCTGATTGATTCCAAGAAAGAAACCTGGATTATGTTGAATTATTCCTTTTAAAAGGGGTCAGAATTTACATTCAATGCACTTTATAATCAATGGTGTCTAAATGCCTTAGCGAGTGCCTAATTGCACACACAAAATTTAAACCTTCTTTCTGTAATCTACCATAATAAATACTGAAGGTATTTCTGTTGTTTAAACACATCTATAGTTTTCTTATTTACGTTCTGCTCTGGTTTCCAGGCAATGTTCTTGGATATTCTAAGGTGGAAGGAAATTTATTCTCAAAAGAGTGTTTTTGAGCTAACATCGTAGTACTAAAGCCATTATCTTTAAATCAATAAGTGATAAAAAAAACATTTTTGAAATGAAAAGATATCCTCTTAAAATTTGTTGTGATCAGTAGAGGAGGACAAAATCAACTTATTTTGATCAGTGTCACAAGCAAAGTCAGTAACAAGCAACTCACTGCCCCAGCGAGTTTGATAAGCTGATTATCTCAGCCTAAAGCCTGCATTCTAATTTGGGGATAAAATATTAGAAAGTTCTATGTTGCTAAAATACCCAAATATAAACATTTTAGTAGCTAAAAGGCAGTACCAATTTCCTCATTGGCATTCTTATATTCAGTAAATTTATACAAATACACATTTTCCCCATGGGAATTTTTTTTAAAAATGATACTTATTTTGAAAAGGAAAATAATGTGGCCTTAAATGCTTTATATTCACTCATTAGACCTTATGCCCAAAATAGTTGCTCATCACTGATGTAAACAAAACAATATTATGATATTATGAGAACTGATAATAAAGTTTCAAAAGACAAAATGGGGTGAACCACAAACTTAAAAAATGTTTTCCACTAAGGCATGCTGTGGTTGGCCCATTCTTAGGTAATTTTAACTGGATAATGTTCTTGAAAAAATATTAGAGAAAAAAAAATGAATCCAATAGCTTTAACAATAAGGAAAGCTTTTATACTGTGGGTAAGAAGTGTCTACCCTAAAAGGATCACATTTGATCTAAATGAAGTTATATTATCCATAACAGGGAAATGATTAATCAACTATCAAAGACTGAATGAAAGGTCTCTTTTTTTTTTGCAGAGGTTTTTGCTATAGGGCACGTGCACTCGCCAGACAGACAGAGAGAGACAGAGAGACAGAAAGCAGGAAATCACCCCCCAGGGGGGATGGCCACGCCGCAATCCCTTCTCCTCCATTCTCCTCTCGGGATCTCGGGCATGCACGCACATGCGCCCGGCGTGAGTTTTAAGCCACTGGGTCCAGGACTTGAACCACGGTCGACTACGTGAGAGTCCAGCGACATAGCCGTTATGCTAACTGCTGGTCCCAAAAGGTCTCTTATTTTTAAAATTGCATTTTAGTTTGCACTTACACAGATGACTTTTATTTCACATTAATCTAACTCAGAATTTAGTTAGCTCTGCATCCTAAGACTTAAACTAGTAATCTTTATGCAATTTGTCTGTTTAATTGAACCATAAAAATTTTTCTTATGTTTGTTTGATAACATATTTCATGTAATAATTCAAAATAAAGTTATCATACTATTTAATTTGCCTTTGTTGCTTTTTTTTTCCTGTTTTCTTTTTCAATCAGAAGTTATTACTATGTAATTTTGTTGTTTTGTTTGTTTATATGTTTGCTTTTAGAATCAGCATGCCACTATGTTGCCCAGGCTGGCCTCAAACATACTCCTGCCTCAGCCTCCTGAGTAGCTAAAACTACAGGAATGTGCCACCATGCCTGATGGCCATGTGATTTTCAATAGCAAGGAAGTTTAGGGTGAACAATTCAACTCTGTTGGCAAATATATCATTTTTCAGGATCTTAAATACATCTTTAAGCTTTATTTCACTAATGGACCTATAATTTCATTATTTCTGCTGTGGAAGATATTTGCAATGATTCCTCAAAGGCTTTTAGCCACATTAAAACCCCTGAGATAGTTACTGAAAATAAACTATTCCTAATTTCTATGTGTATTATAATGATGCTCCTGGCTTGTCAGTCCTTTGCAATAGTTTTCTGTTGTGAAATAGCTGATGGCTTTTGCAGAACTTCTAGTGTAAAAAAAAAACAAATATTAGCAGAGTTAACATTTGGGATTACATCAGGAATCTGGATAATTCTGATTCTGTCCACTCCATTTGTTACTGGCAAACTAAGTTCAATTGCTGCTTCTCATGGTCAATGAAACAAGAGGCTGAGACTGGAGAAGAGGGGAATTTATTTCTGCAACCAGGTGCACACACAAATAGTTGTCTTTGGGATCAGGATCCGGCACATTGGTGCGTTCTGCCTAGCATTTACCAAAGTTTCAGAATATCCAGATGGAAAACAACATAAACCACATTACTTGTACAGTTCCATCACAATGAACCAATTTTTTTTTAAATGATTTTATTCTTGCCGTGAGTGAGAAAGAGAGAGGGACAAAACTCCCAATCAAGCCTCAAAATTATGATCCACTCTCAGCCTCAGCCACCACTATATTGTGCATGTGCCTTCCTGACACACACAGAGAGTTCTCCAAATGCAAACTGGAACTTTACCATGTGGATCAACTTCACAGAGCTCACCTTTTACCACTGCACCACCATCCAGCCCCATGGTGAGCTATTCTTATCAAGTTAGGGAAAGGTTTTTAGCTTTTTCTTTCCCAGAGGGCACATGTCCTTGCCAGAGAGACAGAGAGTAAGAAAAAGAAGAAATCCCTTCTCCATCTCTCCCTCCTTTCAGGATTTTGGGCACACATGCACACATGCCCAGTGTGTGTCTCAAGCCACATGGTCAAACCTTGTGGTTGGCCATGTGAGACTTGGATGCCTTAACCACAGAGCCATGGAACTGGCCCAGTTACAGAAAGTTTATATCAGTGTATGGAATTGCTTGCCAGTCTAGGGCCTATTTTGTAAGCAGGTTTGTCTAAGGATAGGCAATGTCAGGCCTGTTGTGTTAACTCTGTTCTGCACACAAGATTTACATAGATGGTGCCAATAACCATGTTAAGAAATAGGGAAGAAGATCAGATTTGAGGTGGGGAGAGAGCTTGGGTGTATCCAGTTTGAATCATTGGTGAAACAGAGTCTAGACAATTGAAAACAGCAGCTTGAAGTTTAGGACAGGGTATTGTTTCCGATTTGGTCATCATCTGTATAGGGGTGATAAAGTCGTGGAGGAAATGAGTTCCCCAGGGAGACTTTAGTGAGTGGAAAAGAGATGGTAAACTGAGAATGTACTTTGAAAGAAAAAGGGAAGTTAGCAAAGAAGATGAAACAACATGGCAGCAGAGGGAAATGAAACACAGCATAAGGAAGGAAAAAGTATTGAGAGGAGAGCAGGAAACAAACCTCATGAAGATATATCCCCATACAACACAAAGGCTAAGAAATTCAGGACCGCATTTGCTCCTTGGCTTTGCCTTTAGTGAGCCTGTTTAGTGATCAAAGAAGTCTGGTCCTGTGGTGATTATGGATAAGGACTGGTGACTGGTCAGGACCTGGAGCTAGTGTTCCACTGAAATAAATGGTTTACTTGAAATGATTCTACTTGTTATTGGATAGAACCATGTTTGTGAAGCCACTCCTAATGCTTTCTAGGACTCCTTGGCAACTCTCTGAATGCATTGCCTCTGCTTTGTCATGGACATTTGGACAACATGAAGAAAAGGACTTGATGCTACACTGTGGAGATGCCAGATCTGCGTGGTACAATGTAGAGGGCCTGGGAGTTAATGTTTTACCACCTTCGTGGTAAAATGAGAGGAAAGTATACTTGCAGACCTATGCTGGTGATTGGTTTTTATTAGTGAATTTTTTCTCATTGTGGAAAGATGCTAGGTGACTAGTGCATAAAACCATGTTGTGGCCCAGCTGGAACAGAGCTTCAGTGAATCTCTTCATCTTTCCCTCCATTCAGGATTATGAGCACCCATGCATGCATGCCCAGCATGTTTCTCAAGCCACATGGCTGAAGACTCAAACCTTGTAGTTGGCCACCTGAGACTCAACTGGCTTAACCATAAGGACACTTGTGCTTCAAAACATAGAGGAAAAACAAAAACAAACAAACAAAAACTAATATGATATCTAGGTAGAATTAGAATACTTATTTTCACATTCCTCTAGCTGAGATCCCAGCCTACCTCCTTACTCTACTTAACCTACTGAACACAATGAGGTAAACCAGCAACACAAACATATCTTTTTCATGCTCTCTGGCTATACTTGGCCCTCAGTTAAATAATTTATGGATTAATGGGCCTGGAAAGTCTTAGAATCGTTCTCTAATGCCCTGACCCTTATTTTTAGCAATACTTTAAGATGATTTTAAAATATAAATGAGGTTATGTTTTAATAGTTAAAGGAAGTTTATTCAGATCTTCAGCTCTTAGGTTCCTTGTCAGTTTTGTCAACAGAAACCATTATTCCTCTTACCCCTCACTAGGATTTAACCCTAAGTGGATGACATAGTAGCCAGCCTCACAGATGGTCCAGTGTCCCCTTCCACTGATATTCTTGTCCTTGTGTAGTCCCCCTCCTGTACTGTACCAGGACTGGGCTGTATGACCAGTAGAATGTGGCAGAAGTAAGGGCATACCACTTTTGAGGCCAAATCATAAAAGAGCTTCGCCTGCACTCTCTCTTGAAGCACTCATTCTGGAAGAAGTCCGCTGTTAATTCTGGAGATCACTCAAGTAACCTAATCTTTAAAGAGGGAAGTGCTGGTATCGTTCCTACTTCCCCCCAGTTAAAGTTTTAAGAATAGGCTTAGAAAGAAAGCCTTCAGTTTACAGAAGTCAGACTCCCTATTTAGGAAGATAAGACCAAAACCACCAGCAGACAAAAATGGTGTTGACTGACTGAATCCTTCGGAGAAAGGAGAGCCAGTTTGCAACCCTAACTGCTCGACTGCAAGTTATTTCCACACTGGTAGCATCCTGCATGGAAGTTACACTATAAAGCATGACTGGATTAATCACCAACTCCAGCATCCTTAGTATAGTGAACAACATTTTACCGTAAGTCTGACCAACAACGCCCCATTTCTGAGTCAGCTGTAATTACTGGCATTTGAGTCACAAATTATAGCTGTAAACTATTTTTGAATGAAGAATCAGGAAAATTTAGCTCACCTAAGTATGAAGTTTTAAAAGTTTAGGCAGGCTCCACTGTGGTAGATCAGGCAATGAGCACCAGTGCACAATGCTGGAACCATACGGTGAGGTATGAGGTTTGGAGCTTGGGTTGACCTGAACTCAGAGGTTGCACATAGGCACAACCACGATCCTGGCAGGCTAGATAACTGAAGAAGGGATCATAGTATGACAAGATCTGTCAGGGTCCCTGTAGCTCTCTCTCTCTCTCAAGAAAGAAAGAAACTTTTAAAAAGTCTATTGCAGAACCCAAAAGCACTGAATACATATATTGAGCTTAAGATATGTATAAACATACTTGTACTAACTTCACTCTTAATAATTCAAACTGAAAACAACCAGATGTTAGCCATGGTATTTTTATAGCATGGGATACTACTCAGCAATTATGTGAATAAGCCACAGACATGATGTTGAGTGAAAGAAATCAGACACAAAGAAGTATGATTCCATTTACATGAAGTACAAGATCAGACAGAAACAATTTACCACAGAAGTCAGAAGAGTGGTTACCTCTTAGTCAAAGGTGATTATTAGAATGGTGATTATTAACTGGGAAAAGGCATAAAAAGCCTTCTGGAGTGTGGAAAATGTTAGATGTTCTTCCTCTGAATGTTGGCTACACCAATGTCGTGGTGGCCAGCCTCTAAGGTAGTTCTCAGTGTCCCCCTCCTTCAGTATTCTTGTCCTTG